ATCCCAATCTCACACACACACACACACACACACACACACACACAGGTCCTGAGCTGCTCTGATAACACTCTTCCCAATCACAGCGCTGTATTCGCATGTAAATGTGACGAGAGCTCAGCAGATGGACAGACATTCATCTGACCGTCACACGGGACAGAACCCAGCCTGACTGGGTATCAATAATATACTGGTGGTGGTTGAGGAGAGACCCCCCCCCCCATTGTAAAGCACTTTGGGTGTACAGCAATACACAATGAAAGCGCTATATAAATGCCTCATTCTTTCATTAAAGTTTTGAAGTCCAGGTGAAGGTCAGTCTGATCATCTGTACTCACGTCATGACTGAAGCTTCAGCGAGGAAGGCCTGAGCCGTGGCGTCGTGTTTGATGCACTTCACTGCCACCTTCGTCCCTCGGTAATCTCCCACCATCACGTCTGAACACACACACACACACACACACACACAGAGAGATTACACACTGATTCATCGTCCTCAAACACAGCGTCACGGATCTTCACACACCTCCGAACTCTCCTTTGCCGATGGTCTGAATGAGTTTGAGATCTTTCCTGTTCATAGCCCATCCACCTGTGAAGACAAACATCGAGATGAAACCGCTTTCACTTCTGCTTTATTCCTCTCTCTGAGTCCTGAACATCTGCTTACTGACGGATCTGAGCAGCTACAGACAAATAATACTACAATAATTATAATAGAAATGATACTACAATAGAAATAAAAGATAATAATAAGTAATACTATTAACCAATTACTGGAAATAAACTAAATAAAAACAAAAATTGAACTAGAGCTAAAAATGAAATAATGTATTTTTAATAATAAATAAAAGCCAAATAGTAAGTTTTCATATCAACAAAAAATAATACAAATAACAAAAGCGCAATAAAAAAATTACAAATAATTAAACTAAAATGAAATAGAAAACTGAAAGTATAAAAACAAAAAGCTACTTTAAAATATAAATAAAAACTATAATATCATATAAATAATACTAAAATAAAATTATTAACTGGAAATAAAATAAATAAAAACTAAAACTTAAATAATAAATTATAAATAATGAATTATTACATTAAACTTAAATAGCACAATTTCAAAGAATAGTATAGCAATAATACTAAAATAAAATTACTAACTGGAAATAAAATAAATAAAAATTAAAAAAATTAATAATAAATGAAACCTAAATGGTAATATCTCAAACAAAACAAAACGACAAAAAGCACATAAAAACCATTACTAAAATTTTAGCTAGAATTAAATTGAAACCTGAAGGTATAAATAAAAACTACTTCAGAATATTAACAAATCTATAATAGTAAATAAATAATACTAAAATATGCTTGTAGAAGATATGATACCCACTCCTGGAGAACTCGTCCTGCGCTGCCACCGTCCCCTCCATCAGCTTGGGTTTGATGAGCCGCGTGCAAAGACCGTCAGCGTCTTTGGTGTAATGCTGCACACACACACACACACATTAATATGCATTATCAATAGTCATGTTGCACACAGAAGCGGTTATGAACTGTGCTCAGGGGTCAGAGCAGCTGTTGGAGTACTTCCTGTGAAAGAGGAAACACAGAGACTGTGGGCCCAAAATAAGGAGGACAGAGGGGGAAGAGTGAAGGACAGCAGCCGGAGGGAGCAGAGCATGCTGGGATAGAGGTCACACTAGTCTCACGGCACTCTGTTGAGATGTTTCCGGTACAAACATGAGATGACAAGATGACTTTCTGAGTTGATGTAGAATTAGCTTTCATGCCACAAACAATAAACATCCAGGGGGAGAAAGAATAACGTATATGTTCATCAAATCATGAACAAAACTAATGATCAATAAATCAAACTCACTCAAATCACTACAGCTCAATCAACTGATGGGTTTTTAATATTTTTTTAAAATATAATTTTAACATATTTTTGTCTTCATATTTGTGTTTGCTCATGCAATGAAATGCAAAAAAAAAATTCTCACTTGTGTTTATGATTTTGTAAATATGTATTTTTTTCCCTAAAAAGTTACAAAAGTTTTTTTTAGCTTTGTTTTTTAATTAGAATTTTAAAATATTTGTCCTCTTACTTTATGACTTTGTAAATATATTTTTTCTTTTTTTCTTAATCTTAATTTTAAAAATATTTTTTTTGTAAATAATTGTTTTCTTTTAGCTCTTTGTTTCTCATTGAAATGCAAAATGAAACCATTTCTAATTGGACACATCTAAACTGCATCACTAATCATCACTGCTGCCTGTTTAATACCCTGGACAATAGAATAATTCTCTTCATAAACTCTTGTTTAGATGATCATTTGAGTTTCACAGAAACTCAGGAGCCACTAGAGGGCAGAACAAACTCTTAAGAAATCAAATTCATGAACACACACAGGTTTGCTCTTGTTTACAGCGGTTTCATAAGATGTGCGTGTGACGTTGATTCACGAGCAGCTTGTTATGACACGCCATCAAGAGAAACGATGATGAGAATGAGAAACGAGACAAGAGAATGTGAGGAATGCCTCAAAACACACACGACAAACTCACAAGCTCACAAACTTGCACTCGCACACACACACTCATGCTTACACACACTCAATCTCTCACACACACGCACACATGCATGCTCACACACGCTTGCACACTCACGCACTCACGCTCACAAACTTGCACACATGCATGCTCACACACACACACACACTCATGCTCAAACATGCTTGCTCACGCTCACACACTCACAATCGCACGCATGCTCACACACACACACAAATGCATGCTCACACACTCACAATCGCACGCATGCTCACACACACACACAATCGCACGCATGCTCACACACACACACACACACACATGCATGCTCACACTCACATGCATGCTCACACACTCAGTTGCACACATGCTCACTCACACACACACACACACACTCACATGCATGCTCACTCGCTCACACACACTCACACAAATGCATGCTCACACACTCACAATCGCACGCATGCTCACACACACACACAATCGCACGCATGCTCACACACACACACACACACACATGCATGCTCACACTCACATGCATGCTCACACACTCAGTTGCACACATGCTCACTCACACACACACACACACACTCACATGCATGCTCACTCGCTCACACACACACTCGCACGCTCTCACCCATGCACGCTCACACACACACACACACACACACACTGATTCACACTCATGCACACACACTTGCACACTCTCACCCATGCATGCTCTCACACGTGCATGCTCTCACACTCACACTCACACACACACACACACCTCCACCAGCTGCATGAGGTTGTCGAAGTACTCCTCCTCATCGATGGACAGTTTCCCGTCGTGATAGATGATGCGGTAATGCTCCACCTTGCCGTCACAGCTCACACACAGCGTGTAGTCTCCGGGGTAATTAGTGCTCTCGCGCACCAGGAACAGCCCCGTCTCCGGCGGATACAGCAGCCGCTCCGCCTGCTCACGCGTGATCTTACCGTGAAACCATCTGACAAACATGCAAACAATGAGAAAACACTCAGATCCATTTATCTTTCTGGCCTTTATATCCTTTTTGAGATCATACAGTGTGTACAGTATAGAGAGCCTTCAGCTGAGACAGAATCAAACATGTCAAACTCAATGTCATCCAGTCAGATCCCAGTCTAATGCAGCAGACATTCAGTCTGTATTATTTGACATTCTTTTGATTTCAGTAACTCTCGTTCTGCAGATATACTCTTGTGTTGAAGTGATTTATTTCAACAATATATGATCAGTGGTATTGTTCACTAAAACTAATAAATAGTCTTTTACTGAATTTAAGCTGAAATAAAATTTATAAAAATTTCATTAAAATCTTTTAAAAATTAAAATAGAATTAGAAAAAAAATGTAAATGCTGCCTTGACAACAAACTGAATTTAAATACATTTTAGTACTGAAGTTACTAAAACTGAAATAAAAATGATGCTAGCTAGATAGAAACAAACATAAAAATCTGTACATGATAAAATGACATACAGTATAATCATACATTATTTTTTATGAAAACATATATACATATATATATATATATATATTTAAATATAGATATAGATTTGTTTTCAGATTTCAGCACTAATCCACATGCAGAAAAACAAGTCAAATCAATCGATTCTTGGGTTTTGGCTCCACAATATCAAGAAAAATGCACAGATTAGTGATTTTAATGAGTGCAGCTAAACTGATGTTTCCTGTAGAGGTCAGAGGTCATTATCAGAGACCGCAGGGTCACATGAGTGTGCGTGTGTGAGAAAGATTGAGCATGTTACTGAAATCAAATCATGCAAACCGAGTCAGTCACACAGAATGAAGATTGTTCAAATCTAATCAGGTTAGAAAACAACAATGTCGTGTTTGAGCGGAATCAGCAAACGCCGAGGATTGTGGGTCATGAGCTCGGTGCTGAATACACACCCTTCATGCAAAAATGCAGAAGAACTGCCATCAGGAATGCACATGACACAGAGCCTGTGTATCTGTATCTGAGAAATGCATCTATTCACCCTCCAACATTTGGATTGTTAAAACTAATCATAAGTGATAAACATGTGATATTTACCATACAGTTTAACAAGTAAACCCAAGGCTTTATAGAGACCTGGGAAACATCAACCCTTTGAATCATGTGCAGATGAAATATGATCCACTATCAGTACACTGACCAGCTTTAGATTCTATTTATGTATTTATATAAATCTGATATGATGATCTTTATGATTTCAGGTATTTTTGAATGTGTTTTTATTCTCGATTCTTGAGCAAGTGTGAGTGTGTGTGTGACTGCATGTGTGTGTAACTGAGTGAATGTGCGTGTGTATAAGTGTGAGTGTGTGTTTGTGAGCAAGTGTGAGTGTGTGTGTAACAGTGAATGTGTATATCTGTGTGTGTGTTTGTGAGCGAGTGTGAATGTATATATTCATATGTATGAATATGACACAGTTTTACTCAGCTGTTATCGAGTCGGTTCTGTGCTCTTCTATAACTGTCTGGTTTGGGTCAGCCAGCAAATCAGATATAAGAAGACTGCAGCGGACTGTTAGGACAGCAGAAAGGATCATTGGTGTGCACCTGCCCAATCTTCAGGACTTGTACAACTCCAGAGTGAAGAAAGGGGCAGATAACATCATCACAGACCCCTCTCACCCCGGACACAACCTGTTTGCACTTCTCCCTTCAGGCAGACGCTACAGATCTCTGCGCACTAGAACATCAGGCATAAAAACAGTTTTTCCCCCATTCCATCTCCAGCCTAAACAGCTAACACAGGAATTATTACCTGTTCTGTAATTCATGCCTGTAATTCATTCTCCATCTCTAATTATTGCCTCTCCTTCAAGTACTATGTAAATACATATGCATATTTTTTATACAGCTGTATATACAGAGTAAATAATGCACAAATCTGTACATAAATCTTCTGTTCCAGATTCAGTATGAGTGTGTGAGTGAGTGAGTGTGTTTGCGAGTATGAGTGTGTGAGTGAGTGAGTGTGTTTGCGAGTATGAGTGTGTGAGTGAGTGAGTGTGTTTGCGAGTATGAGTGTGTGAGTGAGTGAGTGTGTTTGCGAGTATGAGTGTGTGAGTGAGTGAGTGTGTTTGCGAGTATGAGTGTGTGAGTGAGTGAGTGTGTTTGCGAGTATGAGTGTGTGAGTGAGTGAGTGTGTTTGCGAGTATGAGTGTGTGAGTGAGTGAGTGTGTTTGCGAGTATGAGTGTGTGAGTGAGTGAGTGTGTTTGCGAGTATGAGTGTGTGAGTGAGTGAGTGTGTTTGCGAGTATGAGTGTGTGAGTGAGTGAGTGTGTTTGCGAGTATGAGTGTGTGAGTGAGTGAGTGTGTTTGCGAGTATGAGTGTGTGAGTGAGTGAGTGTGTTTGCGAGTATGAGTGTGTGAGTGAGTGAGTGTGTTTGCGAGTATGAGTGTGTGAGTGAGTGAGTGTGTTTGCGAGTATGAGTGTGTGAGTGAGTGAGTGTGTTTGCGAGTATGAGTGTGTGAGTGAGTGAGTGTGTTTGCGAGTATGAGTGTGTGAGTGAGTGAGTGTGTTTGCGAGTATGAGTGTGTGAGTGAGTGAGTGTGTTTGCGAGTATGAGTGTGTGAGTGAGTGAGTGTGTTTGCGAGTATGAGTGTGTGAGTGAGTGAGTGTGTTTGCGAGTATGAGTGTGTGAGTGAGTGAGTGTGTTTGCGAGTATGAGTGTGTGAGTGAGTGAGTGTGTTTGCGAGTATGAGTGTGTGAGTGAGTGAGTGTGTTTGCGAGTATGAGTGTGTGAGTGAGTGAGTGTGTTTGCGAGTATGAGTGTGTGAGTGAGTGAGTGTGTTTGCGAGTATGAGTGTGTGAGTGAGTGAGTGTGTTTGCGAGTATGAGTGTGTGAGTGAGTGAGTGTGTTTGCGAGTATGAGTGTGTGAGTGAGTGAGTGTGTTTGCGAGTATGAGTGTGTGAGTGAGTGAGTGTGTTTGCGAGTATGAGTGTGTGAGTGAGTGAGTGTGTTTGCGAGTATGAGTGTGTGAGTGAGTGAGTGTGTTTGCGAGTATGAGTGTGTGAGTGAGTGAGTGTGTTTGCGAGTATGAGTGTGTGAGTGAGTGAGTGTGTTTGCGAGTATGAGTGTGTGAGTGAGTGAGTGTGTTTGCGAGTATGAGTGTGTGAGTGAGTGAGTGTGTTTGCGAGTATGAGTGTGTGAGTGAGTGAGTGTGTTTGCGAGTATGAGTGTGTGAGTGAGTGAGTGTGTTTGCGAGTATGAGTGTGTGAGTGAGTGAGTGTGTTTGCGAGTATGAGTGTGTGAGTGAGTGAGTGTGTTTGCGAGTATGAGTGTGTGAGTGAGTGAGTGTGTTTGCGAGTATGAGTGTGTGAGTGAGTGAGTGTGTTTGCGAGTATGAGTGTGTGAGTGAGTGAGTGTGTTTGCGAGTATGAGTGTGTGAGTGAGTGAGTGTGTTTGCGAGTATGAGTGTGTGAGTGAGTGAGTGTGTTTGCGAGTATGAGTGTGTGAGTGAGTGAGTGTGTTTGCGAGTATGAGTGTGTGAGTGAGTGAGTGTGTTTGCGAGTATGAGTGTGTGAGTGAGTGAGTGTGTTTGCGAGTATGAGTGTGTGAGTGAGTGAGTGTGTTTGCGAGTATGAGTGTGTGAGTGAGTGAGTGTGTTTGCGAGTATGAGTGTGTGAGTGAGTGAGTGTGTTTGCGAGTATGAGTGTGTGAGTGAGTGAGTGTGTTTGCGAGTATGAGTGTGTGAGTGAGTGAGTGTGTTTGCGAGTATGAGTGTGTGAGTGAGTGAGTGTGTTTGCGAGTATGAGTGTGTGAGTGAGTGAGTGTGTTTGCGAGTATGAGTGTGTGAGTGAGTGAGTGTGTTTGCGAGTATGAGTGTGTGAGTGAGTGAGTGTGTTTGCGAGTATGAGTGTGTGAGTGAGTGAGTGTGTTTGCGAGTATGAGTGTGTGAGTGAGTGAGTGTGTTTGCGAGTATGAGTGTGTGAGTGAGTGAGTGTGTTTGCGAGTATGAGTGTGTGAGTGAGTGAGTGTGTTTGCGAGTATGAGTGTGTGAGTGAGTGAGTGTGTTTGCGAGTATGAGTGTGTTTGCGAGCGATTGTGAATGTATATATCGGTGTGTGTTTGTGTGTGTGTGTATGATTGAGTGAGTGTTTGTGAGCGAATGTGAATGTGTATATCTGTGTGTGTGTGTGTGAGTGTGTTTGCGAGTATGAGTGAGTGAATGTGTTTGCGAGTATGAGTGTGTGAGTGTGTTTGTGAGTATGAGTGTGTGAGTGTGTTTGTGAGTGAGTGTGAATGTGTATATCCGTGTGTGTGTGTGAGTGTGTTTGTGAGTATGAGTGTGTGAGTGAGTGTGTTTGTGAGTGTGAATGTATATATCTGTGTGTGTGTGTGAGTGTGTTTGTGAGTATGAGTGTGTGAGTGAGCGAGTGTGAATGTGTATATCGGTGTGTGTTTGTGTGAGAGTGTGTTTGTGAGTACGAGTGTGTGAGTGTGTTTGTGAGCGAGTGTGAATGTGTATATCTGTGTGTGTGTGTGTGTGAGTGTGTTTGTGAGTATGAGTATGTGTGTGTGTGTGTGTGTGAGTGTATTTGTGAGTATGAGTGTGTGAGTGTGTTTGTGAGCGAGTGTGAATGTATATATCTGTGTGTGTGTGTGAGTGAGCGAGTGTGAATGTGTATATCGGTGTGTGTGTGTGTGAGTGTGTGTGTGTGGAGTGTGTGAGTGAGTGAGTGTGTTTGCGAGTATGAGTGTGTGAGTGAGTGAGTGTGTTTGCGAGTATGAGTGTGTGAGTGAGTGAGTGTGTTTGCGAGTATGAGTGTGTGAGTGAGTGAGTGTGTTTGCGAGTATGAGTGTGTGAGTGTGTTTGCGAGCGATTGTGAATGTATATATCGGTGTGTGTTTGTGTGTGTGTGTATGATTGAGTGAGTGTTTATGAGCGAGTGTGAATGTGTATATCTGTGTGTGTGAGTGTATTTGTGAGTATGAGTGTGTGAGTGTGTTTGTGAGTATGAGTGTGTTTGTGAGCGAGTGTGAATGTGTATATCTGTCTGTGTGTGTGTGTGTGTGTGTGTGTGTTTGTGAGTATGAATGAGAGAGTGTTTGAGTTAATAAGTGTGTTTGAGTTAGCGAGTATGTGCTTGTGAGCAAGTGTGAGTGTGTTTGAGCATGTGAATGTGTATATATGTGTGAGCAAGTGTGAGTGTGTTTGAGCATGTGACTGAGTGAATGTGTATATAGGTGTGAGTGAGTGTGTGTGTGTTTGAGCATGTGAATGTGTATATATGTGTGAGCAAGTGTGAGTGTGTTTGAGCATGTGACTGAGTGAATGTGTATATAGGTGTGTGTAAGTGTGAGTGTGTTTGAGCATGTGAATGTGTATATATGTGTGTGTAAGTGTGAGTGCCTGTGACTGTGTGTGGATGAGTGTGAGTGAGAATAAGTGTGTTTGAGGTGGATTTGCATAATGACTTTGTGTGTTCGTGTGTGTGTGTGATTCTGGAGAATCAAACGTCTGATTCAGACGCGTCTCCAGCAGCAGAAGCACAGACACAGACTCCAGCTCATCTACACTCATCCATTCTCAAGACCTTCTACAATAAAACCACCATCAGCTGAACCAAATGAACCACAGACAACCATTACCCACAATTCAGCAGGGCTCGAGTCCTCTGTGATCGTGACTGGGTCTGGAGTTATTGATCTGAAAGCTGACTGAATGAGGATCATGAACTCACGGCATCAGACTGAGCTTTCCTCCGGATTTGACTCCTTCTCTCTTCTGGACGTAGTTTGCTGGAATCATTCCCTCTCGGCCAACAGAGTTCTTCGCTTTGTACCAGTTTGGGTCCTGAATCAATCAATAAATCAATAAATCAATCGATCAGTCACTGGACAACATGAGCACGACAACACGACTGATAGAGCTGAAATTATAACTGAAGATGTCAAAATATTGAGAAAATCATCTTTAAAGTTGTCCAAATGAAGTTCTGAGCAATGCATATTACTAATCAAAAATTACGTTTTGATATATTTACGGTAGGAAAGTTACAAAATATCTTCATGGAACATGATCTTTACTTAATATCCTAATGATTTTTGGCATAAAAGAAAAATGTATAATTTTGACCCATACAATGTATTGTTGGCTATTGCTACAAATATAGGATGTTTGGAGACATTAAAAGTTCCGTGTGACATCAGCAGGTGTTTGCTGATTGGCTGTTACCTTGGTTACGCCGATGATGGTCAGCAGGTCTCCTTTGCAGAAGGGCAGGTCTTGCTCTGTGCTGCCCTGGAAGTTATACTTGGCCACACACTCGGTGCCCGGCGGCCATGACGCCTGAGACACAACCAACAATTCACTCTACACTCTAACATGTACTATACAGAAAACAACAGAACCTATTAAACATTTTATGTGAGATATTATTTAGTTTGCAAAAAAAAAAGAAGAGTCTATTTCAGACCCATTATACACATTCTCATTACTGTAATGACTTTTTATTTAAAATATTTATTTTTATTATGTAAATTAACAAAGTTATGTATATTAATAAAGTGATCTGGCACAATTTGAAAGCATTTCAAACCAATATCAATTACAGTCATGAGAATTGAGATAATTGAAAATGGTCACAATGTAAAAAATCTGTAAAAATAAATAACTTTAACCTTGAAAAATCAGTATGAATAATTTAAATAAACAAATAAATAATAAATGAAGTAAAAATAAATAAAATGCTTTTACATAAATACCAAATACCACATTGTAAAAATAGGGTTTATTTAAAATAAATAAATAATTATGAATAAAATAAAATAAAAACACTTATTAAAATAAAAAATAAAAAAACTAATCAATCAATCTGCCAACCTAAAAAAAATGATTTCATCTACCTCAGGCAAAATATAATTAAATATAATTATAATTTTTTAAAATTAAATAATAAACAAACAGACATGGCAGGTTCATTTACCTCATGCAAAATATAATTTATTAAATAAATGAATAAACAAACAAACAAACAAATCCATAAAATAGGGGTTAATTTACCTCATGCAAATTACAATTTGTTTTTAATTATATACAGTATCTCACAGAAGTGAGTACACCCCTCACATTTTTGTAAATATTTTATTATATCTTTTCATGTGACAACACTGAAGAAATGACACTTTTGTAGCAAAGTGTCATTTCTTCAGTGTTGTCACATGAAAAGATATAATAAAATATTTACCAAAATGTGAGGGGTGTACTCACTTCTGTGAGATACTGTACATACAACAATTAAAAAATTAAAAATAAGTAAATAAATAACCCACCCCAAAAAATAGGGTTTATTAAACTTCGGCAAATATAATGTGCTGGTTTTCTTCAGTGTGCCGTGTTTGTACCTGTAGAGCAGACATGCTGAGGACTGATGCTGGAGTCTCTGAGTGTCAGACGAGAACCATCAGAGCTGAGGAGACAACACACACACATCCAGTCAGTCAGTGTGTGTGTGTGTGTGTGAGAGAGTGAGTGTGTGTTGTGGTTGCTACAAAGTGGTTGCCGAGCAACACACAAATGTAAACAAAGGTGTATGTTACTTTGTAGAGTCATTTACAACAGCTTCGAACGCGGCTCAGCCAATCAGAATCAAGCACCGGAACTATCTGTTTTATAAACATAATTATAACAGTCAGAAGATGAAAGAGCTTTATTCTTATTCTGAACGACTGACTGAACATTATGACTAACAAATTAATCAATCAATCAATGGAGATCAAATACTGATTAGATCACAAATTATTAAGAACAAGAATAAACTATTCAAGATTGTTTTGGTAATTGAAATAAAGATTAAAAGCTTAAAAAAAAAAGGACTTAGTTAGAACTAAGAAAAAATAAATAAATAGAAATGTTGCCTTGGCAACTAACTGAAAGTTAAAGCACTAAAATTACTAAAACTGAAATTAAAACAACATTGAAATATCTAGACTATATAAAAAAACAAAAGTCAATAAAATGACATAAGCACATTAAAAAAATTACTAAAATGGCACTAAATTGAAAAAAAAATAAAATAAAAAATTATATATATATATATATATATATTACAAAATATACAAACTAAAACCTAAAAAACAAACGTAAATTAGAAATGTTACCTTGGTAAATAACAGTGATGTTTAAGTACTAAAAATTACTAAAACTTAAATAAAAACAAAGCTAAACGGAAATATTTAGAAAAAATAAAAGCTAATAAAAATGATGAAAGCATGTCTTGTAGATGTAAATTAGAAACATTACCTTGGCAACTAACTGAATTAAGTACTAAAATACTAAAACTGAAATGAAAATAAATGAAAACTAAACAGAAATATTTTGAAAAAAAAAAAAATTACAAAAGCAAAGAGACAAAATGACTAAAATCTGAATTTAAATGAAAATGAAATAAAAGCTAATAATTCAAAACATAAATAAATACCATAATAATATATAAATAATGCAAACGTAACGAGAAGGAGCTGAAGATGTGAAGTGATCAGACGTGAATCCGATTCACTGAATGGCTGTGAAATATTAATGACATTACTGATGATACATATCCACTTCTGAACAATGTTAAATATGTAACAGGCTAATAGAAGTACAGTCAGGTATTTATTGCAAAAAACGACCATTAAAAGCAGTATAAAAGTATTACAAACAAGTCCTGTTGCATGCCAAGTCTTCTGAAGCCATACAATATCTTCATATATTATCATATAATTAGTTACGGTTGAAATGAAGCAGATTAAGCAGTGAAACTCTAGTTGTGGACTAAACTATGACTTTAAGGCCTGGTTTCACAGACAGGGCTTAGACTAAGCCAGGATTAGACCATAGTTCAATTAGGACATTTAAGTCATTTTTATAAACGTGCTTTAGGAAAAACATTACTGGTGTGCATCTTGAGACAAAACCAAGGCACTGATATATTTTAAGATCAATCAGTGCAAGTTTCTTTTAATTGAAACAGCTCAGAATTACATGTTAGTCTGGGACTAGGCTTAAGCCTTGTCTGTGAAACCGGGAGAAAGAGTCGTAAACAAGAGATGAGGAGCGTCTGCTGAATGACTGAGAATGTGAAATATGGAAATGTGACCTTACTGAACATGCAAATGATGAGTTAACGGTCAACAGAGCAGAAACACACTTTCACATCCGTCTGAGTCGGAGTATACTCTTACTCTGAATCAAACCGGAATATTCAGACTGATCTCAGAGCTGCAGAGCTTCACATCCCTGGAGAACATGAACGAGAAAACGCAGCGGGAAGAGCTGCTAAAGATCAGCTTTCAATCTCTCCAAGAAAACAGCACATCAGTTTTCCACGACATTCTAATTTATTGAGATGCACCTCACGCGCGCGCGCACACACACACACACACACGCGCGCACGCACGCGCGCACACACACACACACACACACACACACACACACACACACACACCTGTGTTTCCAGTGAGCAGCTACACATTAGTTTGGGTCACACTCGAACACGTCTTCATTATGAATGTTGGTTTAATGTGAAAGTGTTATTAAAAGTACACCAGACTTGATCCTGAGAAACTGCGGTGCAGTGATTTACACAATGAGACACGATCACCTAATCATGTCAGAAAAATTACATTTACTGTATAACACGGAATGCCACGAATTTAGCACAATTTGGATGAATAAATCAAAAGTAGGGATGCACACTTAATAATAAAAATAATATTAAAACATAATATACAAACATATAAATACACAAACAAAATAGGATAATGATAATAACAAAAATTATTTAAATATACAGTAATGCAAAGGTTTTCACTACAACGCCCCAAAATAAAAGTTCATGTTAAAATATTTTTTGGAATAACAATGTAAATTATTACAAAAATATGGTTTATACTTATATAAATAACTATATAACTTATTTATTAATAACTAAGATAGACATGCAAAAGAAAGCCTGATATGATGTCCACTGACCCAAACACTGAGACAGCAGGAATGATCCTCAAACTAATTATGCACATTACGGTGCTTGTGTTCTTATTTCACAGACAGATGCCACCTTTACTCTGAGAAAACTCTGTTTCTCATTTCCAACTGACTCACAGGAAGACATTTCAGCTGCAAGAAGCCGTGCAAAGATCACGCATTCAAGCTCTGAGACACTCGCAGCAAAACACGATAAAGATCAGACACTCAGACTGGATTATCAACATCGAAACTGGTGCACCAAGGTTAAAGATGAAACCCAAGAAGGTCAGAGAAGGTATCGGTTTCTCCGTCCCGAGAGGCTTCGAATAAAGCCATGACACTGGAGATGGAGGATAGTCTCACAATCGGCATGAAAACCATCTAATAAAGCAGATCGGAGATCTCCAGTTAAAGGAATAGTTCACCTAAAAATAAAATGCACTCACCCTCAGTTCATCCAAGATTAGGATGAGTTTGTTCCTTCATCAGATTTGGAGAAATGTAGCA